CCATATATATATATATATACATATACATATATATACATATACATATATATGTGTGTGTGTGCGTGTGTGATCGTGCTCACGTGTGTGTGTTTGTGTGATCGTGCGCACATGTGTGTGTGTGTGTAGTTGTGCGTGTGCGAGTGCGTGTCTCTGCTTCTGCTCATAAATATTTCGAAATTAATTTACCTAACTGCTCCTCCCCACGCATAAATTCCTAGGAGCGTGTTCGCTACAAGCCTTGCTTTCGGCCCACATGTTTCTTCCAGCACGGCAGCGTAGGTCGTTTGACCCGTATATTTCGAGCTCACCATCAGCATTTTAAGCACAACGACGGCCAATACGCCTAGCAGGGCGAGGTAAGCTACTGCAAGTACTAATCCAGCCTGATTCACTGCAAACGGCAGTGTGAGTTGACCTGCACCTAGGACACCTAACAACAGTGTGGCAGTAGACGCGACTAGTCCAACTTTCCCATCACCACATACTACGTGGTCTGTGTGATCTCTACCGCTGCCCGAGCGAGCACGCGGCAACAGTGCTTCATTCTGCTCGTCTCTGTTCTCAAGTGGCATTATGTATTGTGATAAGTGTAGATGCAATAATCTTCCTAGCAGGATTTGACTTTAACATAGGTATAATTATTATGTGTTTATAAACATATATAGACATATATACATACAAATATGTATATGTACATACAGACAAACAACTTTTTGCGTTCAACTTTCAGGAGGCTCTGCTTTTTTTCTGAAAGGGTAGAATGTATTGGTTTGCCAGGAGGTTTGGGCGGTAGATTTGATTATTTTCCCGGCTCTGTGCATCCATAGGCGCACAAAAACTGTGAAATGATTCGCAATGCATATTTTTGTATTTGAAATACGTCATCATGATTACCATAGACTTTTTTCAAAATATTTACATACATGCGCAGCTATGGTCTATAGTTTCTCTTAAAATAATATTTAGATGAATGCCTGAATCAGCCCTCTTGTAAATCTTGTGATGAAAGCTATTACAAAATCAACTAATACTAGGCCCGCGCTAGTGCCATGCGCGAAAGGTTCAGAGAAATACTGCCGGGAGCGAATCGTGTAGACTATATATGTGTATGTGTATATGAATATGAATATGTATATATATATGTTATAGATATATATGTGTATGTGTATATGAATATGAATATGTATATATATATGTTATAGATATAGATATATATATATATTTGTATGTGAATATGAAT